CGATAAAAAAAGAATATATTCGTTTCCAAGTAATAATGTAACTTTAATAACTCATACTTATAAGCTATAAGTTCAGTAAAGATTGCATTGCTTATTCATCTATTAAAATTTAATGTCGAACTAGAAATTGTATGCATTTTTTGATCACTAAAACAGTATACGATGATGCATGCATTCATTATTTCTAGGTACATTGTCAAACAATCTATACCTTTATCGCATATTTAATTTGTTCGTATTCTATTAGGCTGTAGGTGAAATGATATATATATATATATATTTGTTATATGCAGACTTAAAAGTTATCTATTTATAAGGCTTCAAATGAAATTCATCCTCGTCGGTTAAAAGTTGTTTTTATTTTTTATATTAGTTTATTTTCTTCATTTGTTTAACAATGACATTTTGAAGTCACAATTTTAAAGTATGCAGTGATAAATATAAAGATATTCAAAAGTTTCATGGAGAATAAAAAGGTATATGTTAAACAGTATTAGAAAAAATACACCAAGCTTTGTTTTATGTGACGAAGTTTAATTTTTTTTTGTTCTTTCTATTTCATTCCTTTGTTTTGTCAAGTTAATCAAATTGTATAGCTCATCTTAGTTTGGAAGTTTGAAAATATAACTCTTGATAATGATTTTCCTGGGCATCTCCAAGAGGGTCCTATAACTTATCACCCATGCTGCACATTGTTGGTTAAATTTAGAGCCCATGAACTCAATTATGTCCCTTATATTAACATTCAAATTTTCGTTTTTCATTTTCTATAACTGATCAAATGCATAGATATATTATTACATAATATTGTATCGTTAAAGACTAAATATTGCTCGAGACGGTGCTAGGGTGCTTTAAAGATATTGCATATGTTATTGTCACTCAGGAACATGACTGTATAAAATTGAGTGTGCAATTTTCAACTATTTAAGGCTCTTCACATTGCTGATGATCCATCTTCTAATTCTTATTATTTCCTCTTAAATCATTAATAATAATTCAAAATAATTCAAATATTTTAAACATATATAATATATCAACATTTAAGGGAGATAACCGTTGAGGTGTTGGCAATGTTTATTTTTTTAACACCGCTTGTTACATAGAAAAACGTCGTATGTTAATTTTTGCTAATTTGCATATCAGATCACGGGCCCATTCTCTACACAGACTTTGTCTTAATGCGGATGTCTCGATGTCGCCAATCGCATTTTTATAAAATGGCAATCATTGTTGTTTCTTTCATATATTTGACAGTGAAAATTTTGGCAGATCTGACGACTTGAATTTGATAAGAGACCTATCATTGTGTGATCATTGATTAATTCTCTATTTATCTAGCAAAAATCTAAAAGGTCTGACATATCAAATATCGTTGTATTTTTGCGGCTTTTTCCGTATTCATCATATATGAAATATAAGAAATTATTCGTTTGTTGATTCAACGTAAAGATATTTAGTCCGGAAAAGAGCGAGTTGTTTGATTTCTCGGTGACTTGGCAAAGCCTCCCCCAATACACGGAGAAACGAGCATTTGATAACATTTTTTCTCATTAACAACTCCAAATATTTGGTTGATGGCGAATAAAAACCTTGAATAATTTTCACATAAATCTAGCTTCGGTAGTTTAATATAAGCTTCAGTCGGGTCGACAGCTCGGATATGAATAAGGTAAATGGTAGACAGCGATCAAAAGAAATATTCCGGTATGCTAGACAAAGAGGTCTAGTGGCGACTCAATATCTCTGGTGCCATGTTCGAAATTTGTATTTTCAAAATATCAGATTGAAAAGTTGTAATGTGATACGCATGACAAATGATATTTTTTTCGTTATGTTTTCATAACTGGGTGTGAAAAAAATATGAAGATTACTTCGAGCTGTTGTAATTCGTTAAACTCATTTCATAACATGGTTATAAATAACTTAAATGTTCTAGTATTTAATTTTTTTTCTTAATTGTGCACATTATCAAAAAAATCATTTGTTCAAAATGTTTATTAGATTTTAACGATTAAACGTTTAAATTTCAATTAGAACACGATTTAAAATACATAACAATTAAAGGTACCAAATAATTCGCTTGCAACATTCAATTATCAGCATATTTTCATTGAAGAAGACAATCTTAAAGGAACTTTAAAAATATCTATCACCGAGATACAAATTTAATTTCCTTTTGCTACGTTCAGGTTCGCAACGAGTAAAATGCATTAATTAGATAGATGCCTAAGAGAATGAACAATACTTGATTTTGATATCTTAAGTGGTTTCATTATAAAAGCTATAAATCATTCAGATTAAACTAGAAACAAAAACAACAACATGCTAAAGACATATTAGTAAACATGACTGACAGTAGAAATTAAACATTACTTCAAACAATATTGGGCATACTCTTGCTTCACAATTATAACTAACTTAATTTATTAAAACTATATTAAAGAATAATACTTTTAAGAAAGTTATTTCTGTCGTTTTCTTCAGGTTGTAGAAAATTCATTTGTCCGAAAACAGATTAAATACATGTAAAATTCATCTTTTGTTTTATGAAAGTATATCATTGCGACTTGAAATATATATATTTTATTTATGTTTTCGTATACATTATTATATATTGTACAAGTCTCGAACAAGATGTACTGTTTTCCAGGGCATGAAAATGGTCCGCTTTAGGAATGTGATATACTTTCTGAGTTTTTTTCCATGCCTTAAAATTGAATTGAATTCAAATAATTGTATTAGTCCAGACATCCGAGTGTTGGCGTAAGACACACTTTCATTTGTTAGAAAAATAATGTTCTTGTTTAATTGTGTTAAATTAATTTTAATATAATACTATTTCAATACAATTCGGAATCAATGTTTTTAAATCATATTTACGGTTTAGAATTTATATTAAAAAAGAAACAAGTTCTGTTTCAATCATATGCCAAATTTCTTGAAATTCAATTTTCCGCTAATTCATAAATTTTCAAAATTTTCTTATAATATATAACAACTGGGTATATTCTCTTTCTTTTTCAGATTATTACGCGTTAAACTACTCTTTATGAAAGTCCAAATGCGTTTACCAGAAGTGATGGGATTCTCCGAAAAAAAGGTCTGTGATGTAAAGAACCGAAACAAAGTCGTCTGCTAATTCAGTATGTCATAAAAGTGCCAAATTGCGCGTTTTTTTCTTCTCCCTAAAGATGGTTCAAATTTTACAAATTTCAAATGTATTTATTCGCAACGCTTTCGCTGTAAAATGCAATTTATGCAATTTTAAATTTGTGTGTAAACGTAATTGCCATTAGTTTTTCTTTAGAGTTGCGATTTTTAACGCCATTTAAAACACATTGAAATTCTTTCAAGATGGATTTATCACAGAGGTTATCTCTGTTTTTATTTTATTTTTTTGCTGGCGTGTTGAAAGTTTTACGAATGTGAAATCATTTATGACGCAGCTTATTTTCATAAATTATACAAAGTATTGATATTATGATAATTTATTTTTTTAATTATCTTTCAAAACGATGTGATAACGTGGATGCAGCTTTCAATGATGGGGATAGCGTTATTATATTAATCATATTTATTCTATATTGATTTAATTACTAATTATCATTTAAAAAGTTTAAATATATCTAATAAAATGATTTTGAAAACATCATTATGATTAATTGCATTGTTTTTTTTAATAATATATAATCACTATAATTTCACGAATTAAAAAAATATTCCCGTTGTAAAAATCGTCATCATTATCATTATCATCTTTGTACCACAACGCAGACATTAACATATTTTTTATGTATTTAATGCATTAATAAAATAATACTTAAGCCATTTACTATAGAACATGTTTTTTGTACATTTTAAATAATGTAGTATTCAAATCAGTATTATTTTATTCATCATCATCAGCATCATCATCATCATCATCATCATTTACATTATCATCATGCATTTTAAGCTCCGTTCTCTTTTCAAATATTACCTGATAATAAATATCATGGTATATAAAAGTAGTTTCTATAAATAAGACAACAATGCAAATGACAAAATCATGTAAAAAATAATTAATGATAATTACCTAATTATATATATTTTTTAATGTTAAAAATTAATAATTAAATTTGAATTAAAAAGTATTATCATAAAGTTTAATGATTATACATTAAGAGAATAACAAATTATATATAAATGATAAGTTTAACAATTATACATTAATCAAAGGACTTACCAATTACACATAAATGTTTATAAAAAGAAAAGAAAAATACTATATCAATTTAAAGTAATATTTTTAGAAAATTTTAACTCATAAAAATATGAAATTATAGGTATCAAATTTTTTTATCTTTAGTTAGAGTACGTCATATCAAATGATAAAATATCCTTAATCGTAATATATTTATGCGTTGACCGTACTTAAATTACGAAATCATACATATGAAGATTGTTTATTTTTTGACCTCTCTTTTATAGCGGCAATTAAGTTTCATTTTACCGCGACTTAATCCGAGAATTAGGTTTCAATACCTAGGAGACGACAACATATATTATCCTATGTTTTTTGTGAACAATTATTTTACATGTAATAAATGTACAAGTTATTTACCTAAATATGATTATGCATTATATTATTTGTAATGCAAAATTGCAACATGTTCTTAATATTTACTTTAATGACAAATTTTTGCGACCAACGTTCGTCGGACAAATAAATCTCGCTTGTACATAAACAACGCAAGAAGGAAAATAAAATTGTAACTAATATGCCGCTGAACAACAGTTTTCAGTCAAGCTTTAAGACATATCCTAATTTTTAACAAAAGCTTCTCTCGGCTATAAATTTTCCGCATACATCGTTTTTGACATTAATAGTCGGTAAAATAAATATAAAAGGTGATAGATCTAACCTAAATTAAACTGCTACTGGCGAAGAAAAGTGATTTATAGCTGAACATCAAGCAAGGAAGAAATATGAGTATTCAAAATTAAAAAAGCCTTACCTCCAAGATTTTGTTGTTGTTGTGAGTTTTGAGGCGGTTGTTGTGGCTGTTGCTGTTGTTGTTGCGTCTGTTGCTGCGATTGTTGTTGTTGTTGTTGTCGTTTAGTGTTCTGTCGAGACTCTTTCATCCACGGGTATATTTCCTTTTTCATAACACCATTCGTTGGACTTGTTGAGTCCAAATTTTGGTTACAATTCATGTTTTGTAAACATCTCGAAGAATACTGATCCACGTACCGACTCGGACTTAAGTCACCATTCGGAGCAGCATTGCTGCCCGGGGGTATATTACACTGCCCCTGGGGAAAGTAATCTCCGCCCGGGGGCGAGGGACTCGGCTCCCCGTAACTTCCACCGTTCGCTGGAATATTTTCATAACAATATCCATTTTCTGACGGATAATAAGAATTAAACGGTTGTTGTTGGCTATAATAGAAGCCTGTTTTCTGCATGTCTCGATTGCCAAAATTTATTTCATTCTGTTCACAAACTGACATATTATCCCTCAATCCATTGCCACTGTTCTATTCCCCATCACTCACGTGATTAATGGTTATCCAATCAGAGACCGGAACACAGCTTCTCTCTTTTCTACCGATCGCTGTAAAAAAGAAGAGAGAGAAATACACGTCTAGAGTTTATACATTATACACACCGCAAAACGAAAGCAATGATTTTCGCATCAATTTTCTCCCAGCTATTCTATTCGCATAAATAACTGAATTCTTTGACACATAAACAAATCTCTTAAGCACTCGAGAACAGAAGTGAAACTAGGTTTACGTTGAAGAGACAACTCGTATATAAAAGAAGTCGCTTGATGTTTTCAATTCGGCATGCGTATACGATGAAAACCCACCTTTCGTTCGGCTATCACAACAAAAGCGTTTTTTTCGCGGTGAATTAGCTACCAGATTTGACTGCTGAATTGATATCATGTAACTTTCCGTAATCAAGTAACATGTGAACGATAGACTTGTTAATCAAATGCGACCATCAAAATGAATACAGAGGTGAAAAAACGTAAATGTAACTTAACAGGTATTTAAAAATATATATATTAAACTTATTTTTCAAAAATAATCTATAATAATAGTTGAAAATTGTAACATCAAAAAATGTGCTCATTTTAAATGAATACGTCTTGCGTTACAATATCAAATGAAAAGTATTTAAATATATATGTATATGTGTATATATTTCTTTCTGTTCTTTTCAATACCATTTTGTTCGAAATTAATGCCTGTAAATGTTTACTAGCCTGCAATTTTAACATTTGTACTTTTAGAAAGAAATTAAGAGTATTTAATATTTTAACCATATTTTTTTAAAGCATAGATGAATGCATATAAAAGTGCACCGTAAACCGTGTTCAAACATTTGTTATTCAAATATTCGTACAGAAAAAAGACATTAAAAAAGTTATCAACAATTTCATGTTAGAGTAAGATTAAATAAATATTTTTAAAAGTATTTTTTTTGCAATTTCGAATCAACCTTTCGTTTTAACATGTTCCTCGGTAGGAAATAGAATCATGTTTAATTTCCTTTACATGATTTGTTTTTCGTCCGTTATTCACATCCTCTTTCGAAAAAGGCATTTGCAAAAATGTTCATGTGCACAGCAGTAAATAATGTTTTTAAATGTACTTTTTAGGTAGCATGCAATGTGAGTGCCCGTGATCGCGTGATCCTTAGATGAAACGGTGGCTAGTTACTGTTCATCAATTAATTTCGTTCCCTCCATCAAATTGATTTTTGTCTATTTAGTATTGCAAATGCAACTTCCGATAACATAGAAAAAACACCAACATTTACTAGAAATGTTCATTACGCAATCGAAATGATTATAACGAGTTGGAAAAGGAACTACTCTTTAATTGATACAAAAAAGACGTTTCTTATTATTTCCGTACTTGATAATCAAATGTACATGCACTTTTATATTTGCGATCACAAATGGTTAACAAATGTCATTAAAGTGGTTTTGTGAATGAGTACTTGTATACTTTTTTGGGTTTAAGGATCTGATTTATTTTTATGGTGTGGTGTACTGGAAAAGAAATTGTGGTTGGAAAATATGCCATAATTTCAGCGTTTGATCCGGTTTTAAATTAAGATTTCTTTTCGAATTTTCTTTTTTTTTTAAAAAATAGTGAACCCAGAAATGGTTTCGTTTGAACACGGCTTAATGTGCACTTTTATATGTATTCAACCATCTTTGTTTGAAAAATGTATTTATGGTTAAAATATCAAATACTCTATTTTATTTTCTAAAAGTACAATGTTTGATATGTGATTCATATTCCGTATCCAATGGCAACTAAATTAATATTGGAAGATCAAAGATTTAATTAAAACAAAAACAAATCTAGTACATGCAAAAAAGTAATTGGTAAGGTTTTCATAATCATTTACAATAGTGAATTTTATATTTACCATGTAAATTATATTTCAATATGCGTCAGAAAAAAACAACAAAAATGTTTGTCTTTGTGATTCTCTAGTGCAATAACACATATTTCTGAGTAAAACCAATCAATCAAGACACGTGCAAAATGTATCAACAAATGTGTATTGTTACTTTTATAAAATGCAATGATGCCTGGAATAAAAGTATGTTTAGCCTATATTTGTTTCCAGTTACCGAAAATCAGAGAAGTTACAGAAATAATCAATCAATGCATGTACAAAATGCAACATACGTACATTGTATTTTTATTATTGTAAATTACTTATATTTAGCTTACAATTTTTTCCTAACAATTGTTAACATAGAAAAAGTAGTTACAAAAATAAAAGATGATCTTATATGTAAGTAAAGATAGGGACATCACAATGTTTTTTTTTATATGTTTAACTAAAATATTAAGATCATTCATTATAGTATCGACTCAACTTGTAGCAAGATGTCAAATTACAACTTACTGAAGGAGTAGATATGACTACATATATTCATGTATTTATAATTTATGTAATTACAACATAAGAAATGTTAGTTCAAATAGATAAACTCTTAATCTGCTGTATAACCGCGCGATCAGTGCTGCTAGGCCAAGATCAGCCGGCACGTCCGTTCGCTGTTCACTAAGTACTTTTCGAAAATTTCCAAATAATGATGAATGGTTTTGTCCATTTAAGATATTTAGCTTGCATCGGCAGATTAAGTGTTAAAGACAATATATAATAAAACATCAAGTCCTCATTTAGCTTGCAATACATCTTCATGTTTTTGAAACTGCACATATCATGTGTAAAACGCACACAAATATATACAAATAACTCACCGAAACTTATCTATAGCACTATTTTGTCAACACTTATCAACTCCTTTTTTATTGATGAATAATATCATAGAATCAGTATGTAGATAATATTTTTAAAAAACGACTTGATTAAAGTACCTTAAACACTTATTTATGTCTTTTGGATTAAATACATTTTAGGTTATTTTGTTCACTTCCTATGTACTGTAATAAAATCAAATCTTGACATTTTAATGCTACGCATATCCAATTTCACCAAACATTTAACCTATCTGAATTAAGGCAAGCGAGACATCTCTGTACAATCTCGTTACACTCTCTGTATCCAAATATAAAACTATATCTTTCAAACGAAGCCTCGGTCGAAATTTTAAACATATATCTTCTGCTTCATCTCTTTTCTCCTAATAAATTTTGTTCGCAATTTAAGGTTGTATCACCGCCATGAAGTTGCTTGTGCTATTTGATACATTCGTTCACGTGCCGACTGATTTATGGAAGAGTCAGCGAATTTGGTGGTATAGCACCGCTTTATTGCCTTAATAATAATTAGTGTAATGTGAAATTAATTTTTATGTTCGCTAAATACTCCACGCTTGTTGTGAGCTATTGTTGAAGTCGTTATGTTTTATGGACCGCTAACACGAGGCGAAAACTATTTTATGTTAAAAGGTATTTGGTCGTCATGCGAAAATACTATGAATTCTTAAAAGAAGCAATAGGATGAGCTGCCTTTTGTTAGGTAATTGCTATAAAGGCAATTGCGATTGCTGTTATTCTTTTAAATTTATATTACCCTTAAAGATAAATGGCGACATGTTAAATATGTTTTACGTAGGATATACATGTTTATAAGTAGGATGACATTGCAAATAAAAATAACCGAAAGTATGTAAACTATTTTATTTTTTCTCTATGTATTCTGCAAATTGTTATGTCCCACGTGATACTGGTGCTTCAAAAATCACTTATAAGTATTTTTTCAAATTTACAATACTAAAACTAACAGTTTTCTTAAACTTATTGCAATAACGAAATTTGAAGATAAAACGAAAAGCCACTGTATCGCAATTGATCGGCGTGTCTCCTTTTGCATTACATATTTAAGTACTTTCCATATATAATAGCCATGTGTAAGTGTATTAGATAATTCCGTTGATAATAGTCCATGTCCTGTGGCAAAGACAATGGTGTGAAGACAATAAATGTTGCTATTGTAATGAAGTTATCTGTAATCTCAATATTTCAATAATTTATCGCCTAATTCTCAAGTGAGTCCCTGGCCATACCGAGATTTTCTGAGTCCTGAAATATTAATTAAAGTACTTTGGTCAACAAAGCAGAGACTGGGGAGTCAAACGTAATGGCCATTGGTTGGTTTCTCGCCAAATCAACTAGTTATACTTAAAAGCCTTGATAATGTTGTTATTATAATTATACACTCTTTCTTTTGTTGTGGTAAAACGCATAATTCTGCAGACAATGCTGTCTGGACCCTGGTGTAAATGCGTCTTTGTAAAAGTACTGAGCAAGTGGTCACTTGGTTTAAGCTGGTGAAATAGGAGCTTTGGAAACGTTCACTTCATTACTTTGAATTGTGTGAGTTATTTGAAATTTTCAAAGATATATTCGCTGCCCAAACCAAAATCATATTCTAAATGATTCCTTTAAAGTAAAACCGGTTTCTAATCTAGTAATGTTTGTCTACTGAAATAATCTTGCAAAAACCTGTTTTGAAGCTGTTTACAAAAACAGTTAAATTTGAAAATTATGCTAGTTTTCTATAACTTTTGAATAGGGAGATAAGACTCTATAGGAGAAGCACGTTTCATTTGACAAAACACATCAAAACAACGACTGGTATTGTTCCTTAACAAATTGTTGATCATATAACTTTGTTTTATTTAAACTGCATAATATTCTCGGTTGCAGTATGAATTTTTGTTCACACTTAACAGTTTCGATCGCAAAGTTTCAATTACTTTTTTTATTTTCTTACTCAACATGAGTCACCTTTTAAAATCTTACTCTATAAAATTTTGAATAATGGCCGGTTGCTCTGTCATAAAAAATAAACATAATTCATATGCAGTACATACATTTGTCCTAATATAGAAATTGAAACAAACAGATGTCATTATGTTTTGTTTAATAAATGCGGTATTTCGATTTCAAATGGATAATCTTATGGTCAGTGCAGAAGTCTTAATTTATCAAAAAATGTTATTTTACAAAAACAGTCTAAAATGTAACAGTGTAAAACAATGTATCATTTTATAATATATGTTTATTTTAAGTAGTTAAGTTGTTTGTCAATATTACCATTTTTTCTCCT